AATATTACATTTTTGTTGATGGTTGAAAATCAAATGATCTATTATATTTAATATTTTACTGGGAATTACATAGCTGGTGGTCAACACTCAACACACACACACATTATTATCTAAAATAAAACATGTGAACACTGGCTGCAAATTGCAAAACTTAACTTATCCTTGTTTTGATAATATCGGCTGTTAAATTTGTATTTAACCCTTAACCAACGTGGTGAATTAATTTTACACAAACGACGTGGTAGAGTCCCTATGACTCCATGTTGTCAAACTGACAATTTGTGTTCTGAATGTTATGTTAGAGTTATTGAAAGTTAAAAAGACATTTAAAGAAAGCATATTTATTATAAAAAGTTGAACAATACAAAATAATACCAACTTATTGGAAAATAAAAATTGAATGAACCGAAAAATCTGCTTCCAGCGTTTGCTTCGATAAAAAACAAATTATTTTATATAAACATTTTTTTTTCAAAAACACGTTTTTAAAACTATATTGAATACTAAAATAATATTTTTCATACAAAAAGTTATTCTAAAAAAAATTGTGCAAGTCCTGAAAATTGGCCAGTTGATCACATTTATTCACGCATTTACACATCCACTACACATTTTTTTGCTAAACTGCAAAAAGATCGGTTGTTTACACTGTATTAGTGATGTAACTTTTTTTTTATTGAGTTTAATGCGTCGACAACTAATGGTCATTGGCATGGTACAGTGAATTTTACAGTCAGGTACCTAGTGTAGTGTGTATGTGTGTAGAGTAATTGTCTTGATACTTAGCAAAGTCGACGTCATTGTTTTGCTAAGAGATTCTAATTGCATCCGAACGTCTGCGGTCTCTCCGGTGAGTACCGATCGCACAAGGATAGAAATTATTGTCATTCATTAATTTTTACTAAACGAAAATTTCTCCACCCAGGTGAGATTCGAACTCACGACCTTTAGGTTCAAAGGTAGGTGCTCTTACCACTGAACCACAGAGGGGGTGAATGTCATTTTTTAAACATTCGCGAATGCGAATATATGCCACCGACATTCGCGAATGCGAATATTCAGTTTTTTTTAATTTGGCAATTTTAATTGTCTCCGGCACTGCCGGCAGTCTCATTTGCGCGAGGTGTGTAGCATCTGCAATTGGAAGAAGTCTGTCATTTTTAACTGCTTTAAATTGTCCAGTATCATTCTATCATATTTGCTAAAGATGTGAAACAGTTGTATTTATTGTAAAGAAGTTTATTGCAGGCGGCAGTTAAGTTTATTGAGGGGTCGTTTAAAAAGGTATTTATTTATAGTCACGTCCGGGCCAAAAACGTAAAAAGCACGTTTTTCGATCTTATTTTCTCTTGTTATAATCAAATTTGACTTGTTATAGAGAGAGAGTTATAGTTCCAATAGAAATTTCACGGGACACAAGTCACTCCACTTGCCCTGCTCTGCTCGTGCACAAATACAAGCGAATTTTGTAGTTAAAGTGTGATTAGCGATTTATTACTATGAGTAAATCAAATTATAGTGAAATATGGACTTATTTTTCACCACTTTTCGATACTGAACGAGCTAAATGCAAGCTGTGTAACAAAGAATATTCGAGAAAAGGAAGAACTACAACGGCTATGAGAAATCATTTAAAGGCACTGCATAAAACCGAGTTTTCCAAATTAGAAGAGTGTGAAAACCGAAAACAAGTTGCTTCTAAGTCACTTGAACAGACATCATCTTCCCATCAAGGTACTAAATCTGCCATGAAACAAATACCGCTTCAAGAATTTGTCGATAAAACGCAACAGTGGGATAATAATTCTTTGAAGTCATTGGCAGTGGATAATTCTATAAGTAAAATAGTTGCGTTAGAGGACTTGCCATTTAGTTTTGTGGAAAGTGTTGGATTCACAAGACTTATCAAGCATTTGTCCGCCTTACAATTTAAAGTCGCGTCAGTATTTCACTTCATTTATATGCGATAAATTATTTGGCAAAGTAAGTCAGAAAATTCTTGAATTACTAAAATCCTTCGAAAAATTATCATTTACTACCGACATTTGGTCTGATAATTGTTCTGGAGTTTCATTGCTGAGTTTAACTTGTCATGGGATAACAAAAGAATTTGAAAGGAAAATGATAGTGTTAAAAGCAGAAATGTTTAATGAAGACTGCCACACTGGAGAAAATAAACTTAGATATCTTGTCGTTTTGGAAATACCAAAGAAAAAGTGAAATGTGTATTTCGTGATGCAGGGATAATATCAAAAAGGTGTTAACTTATTAAATGTTAAACATATTGACTGTACTTCTCACAAGATTTTTGTTATGGTACTTCACTGACACCTATTATTTCTATTTCTGGTTTTTGCATATCTTTTACAAAATTATGGATTTTTCCTATCATAAACATACTTTTGGTTCTCCATGTTTGATCTCAATAGTTTAAAACATGTCCACTTTTGGGTGGTTCCTAACTGTCATGTTGCAGATTATTTTGACCCTTTGACCATCTGAGGTCTGCCATTAGTGCCATGTTTTTGGTTTTTGCGGTTGAGAATAATTAACGTGATAGTTTCTCCTTACTTTCTGCATTATAGTGTCATAGTGGGGCGAATCACCACTAAGTGTCTGATGTCAAACCTACTAGAGATGGTTCCAACAACCTTGACTTCAGCTAGGTCTTATTAGTACCTGGCCTTCATATTTGCAGGAATGTGATATGCTGAACTGAGGCTGAGGACTTCCCTGTCTAGCCTTGCCTATATAAACCTCACTTACAATACAACAATTAATGGCAATAATACAACATTAAAGTTAAGTGGATAATAAAAAATAAAGACACCTTATAGAATGGGTGAGAGATTTAAACAAGAAATCTAAAGTTATAGTTCACTCATTAGTTTTGATAAATAAAAATAGGAATAGTATCAATAGTAAGCCCTGTAACATTCCATATAAAGTTGTTGTAAAGGTAATATTATAAGTTTTGAATTTATCTAATAGCTTTATTCTATTAGTTTTCAGTTTCAGCACAGACATACATACACAGCACAGTGACATGTAGATGTAGACTTTTAGTTTAAGGATATTCCATCTAAAAGTACTTTCGACAGTTTATGAAATGAAAAATTTAACAGAAAACCAGTTGAGCTAAGGGAGACATTAACAGCAATGGTTACCAAAATAACAAATGAGGAATATGTCCCAGCACTTCAAAAAATAAAAAAAGGTAAAACAGTTGGACCAGATAATATCACTAGGAAGTGTGGACAGCTTTAGGGGAGATGGAAACAAGTTGGCTAACAGGATTGTTTCATAGAATTATGGAAGTCATACAAGTGCCAGATGAATGAAGAAGAAGGATATTAGTACCTGTTTACAAATGCAAAGGAGATATATAACAATACAAAACCTACAGAGCCATAAAACTACTTAGTCACATCATGAACATATGGTAAAGAGCAATTGATAGATGGATGCAAAAAGAAACCAAAATATCTGAAAATCAGTTTGGTTTTATGCAAGGCAGATTAACAATAGATGCAATTTTCAATATAAAGTAGCTGACTACAGGAATAAAGCAACAAATACTCATATGGTATTCATTGATCTTAAGAAAATATATAATAGAGTTCATTGGGAGATTCTGTGGTAGGTAATCAATAAGAAAAGAATTCCCAGTGAGTATGTCAAGATTGTGAGAGTAAGCAACAGTATTTGTTAGGACAGGTGTGGGAGAGATTTATTTCATGTGAAAGTAGGATTGCATTGGGGATCAGTGCTTAGTCCTTATTTATTTTCATTATTGTTGGCTCAGATAACAGGGAAACCACAGAGTAAGATTACCTGATGCTTAATGTATGCTGATGATATAAAACTTAGTAGAAAAAAAAGTATTAGGAATGTTTATTTAAAAATGGAGTTACTACAAATACAATAACTTTGGATAGTGCACTGATTGTTTGTGCAAAGTAATACTTTTGAGTAATTAGGATCAGTATTACAAAGTAATGGAGAAATAGATTGGGATGTTTGTAGTAGAAGAGTAAAGGTTAAGATGGTTCAATGTCAAGATTTTAATTAACTAATATGAAGAATTGCTTATTTGTAAGTCCTTGGAGAGAATGGAAGAGGAAGATCAATAAAGATCTGTTGGTAAAGGAGATTTACTTTAGTATGACCCAAGATAGAAACTTATAAATGTATCATTTAAGGGTTCTTGAATTTGTTAATTTTAAGAATAACTTAGAAAGTAGACATACATCTGTAAGTGGTAGAGTTTACATAAAAAAAAATAAATATAATACTTCTGCAAGTGTACTCTCTTAACAGAGCTAAATTATTATCATCCTGCTTATTTTTATTTTATCTACTGCTGTTCTAAATAGTTTTACTGCACTGCATTAGAACCATTTCCTAGATTAAAAGTGTAAAGCAACTTTGACTACTGATATGAAAAGTTTCAGAGAAATTTTATGTGAAATTCTACATTGAGCCATACTTTAGCTTTGTTTACATTAGTGTATGGTGCATTTTTCATAGATATTGTATCATATACATATCTTTGATGGTAGATTCACTCTTGTAGATAGTACTCTTAGAGATAGGTACTGTCATTAATTCTTTCAATAGCTTTTTGAAACAGGTCTCTCTATTTATTGGAGAAAATATACAATCCTTAAAGAAATTAAATCTGTTTAATAAAATTCTAGTAGATTTAAGAAGTTCTATATAACCATTAAACTTTTAAAATAAGCAATTAAAAGATCCAACAAAAAGATGAAGACCTATGAAAACTTGTAGAAACAGTTGGAAACAAGATGTAGACAGATATCAAATATAAAAGTTTAAAAAACAATGTATGTTGCAGAATTTAAATATTTTAACTTGATGTAATATTAGGAGGTAATGTACAAAGTCATTAATTATTAGTTTGTATTTTCAAAACAAAAGATAAAAATGGAAGTAACTTTGATGTTAAATAAACAATGATAAATATGCATTTAACTTACTTGAACATGTATGCGCCCAAATTATTCAGTATGACATAATTGTCAGGAAATAGGTTTAAAGCTTGAATGTAACATTTCAAGAGTTCTTCTATGTTGGATGTTTCTTCCAAAACCGCTCCCATTTTGCAAACGAGTTTCGTAAAAACGGTTTGCACCGCAGAAGTAGATTCAGCGGGATCATTTAAACTTTCAAAATATAGAACAAAGTTTTCATAGGCTTCGGCGAAGTCGTTTTTTACACAAGCCTGCTTAGCTTTTTTCAGGTAATATATACTGTTGTTTTTCTTTTGATAATCTCCCAAACGAGGTACTCGTCCAGCCATTATATCTAACTATTTGCTTGTATTTGTTCTTCTTACTGTTTTAATTTAACAGTATATTTGTTTTAAGTAGCACTTATATTAGTAAAAATTAATAATCTAACACCTCCATCCATTTAAACGTCACTATTACTGTCATAAATGTCATGATGATTAATGTGTCAGTGTAACAAAGTCAAAACGTCAAAAGTCAAAAACAGCTGTCGTAAACTAGTCTGTCAAAAATAAACCGCGTTCAGTTCATTGACTGTCAAAATTGGACACACACACACAATGATACGGTATCGTCACAGAATAATAAACAATTGTTATTTATTAAATAATTATTTATTCTGTGGTATCCTCTGAAACATCTATGCTCATAGGCCAAGTCTTATGCGGGACAAGTCCGTCTTGCATAATTTGCAGAATAATTGGATGATCATATTGATATAATCCAAATGCACACTATTTATCAAACACTTCTATTTGGTAAGACTTCCATAATAGAGGTAAATATGATAAGAAAAATAACTATCAGCATTAATGGTGCTACAGCTTTATAATAAAATAGGTCGCATGAGTGGTTTCCCATATAGTAAAAAACTACGTGTTATGTGTCTTCTTCTGTAGGTAAATCTGTAGTAAAAGAAACTTTAGAGTTTCTAAGGAGTGATTGTAAGTTAAAAAAGTATCAGTTTATTGAAAGTGTTACACTCCTTAAAAACTAAACGTAACGCCTATGTTTTACTAGTGTCAAATTTCGGTTATGTCAAAAACTACATTCAAACGAAATTCGCAACGTTAATAGGAAACTAATATAAAATGTAACTTAAATAAAATGAACTAAATTTTAAATTAATAAATGAAGGTTGAATGGTATTATAAATCTTGCTTTTTAAATATCCCAATATACAGAAGTGCACAAAATTTAAATAAGTGATCTTGTTATTCATTCAATAAAATACCTCCTTAATGGGGTTATTTAAAAAGCAAGATTTATAATACCATTCTAGTTTTATTGGAACAACCAGAGATACATATCTCTGGGAACAACTAAGTCAACGATAAGTACATAAATGTAGTCTAGTAACCCCTTAAACTCCCCAAAAAATTTCTAACAGCGACTTTATCATTGTAAGGACGTTGGTAGATATCTTGTTCAACATTGTAAATAGTTACAGCTGTTTAGTAAACTGTTTGAATTATGAATGTATTATTCTGAAGCTATTTTCTTGTGGCATTTTAAAGTAATTACTATTTAAATAGGAATAAGCCACAATTAAAGGTTAAAGTATGTTTATTGACGTTTCAATTTCGACTTTAGAAATCGTTATCAAAATACAAACTAATTTCACCGAACAACCGGTGCTGAACCGTTGTTCGGTGCTAATTTTGAGAACGATTTCCGAAGTGGAAATTGAAACCTGAATAAACGTACTTTAACCTTTAATTGTGGCTTATTCACATTTAAATAGTCATTATAAATGTATTCATTTAAAATTTAGTTTATTTTACAACACTATAACAAATCTTAAGGCTACAACAAAACTTAAGACTATAAACAAATACTATTCCCAAAAATAATTGCCAAAAATAAGTTCTGGTATTAATATTAATTACCAAAATACTGAACACGCCTTAAAACTCCAATGACAATGACATTGACATGCTCCGTTACTTTGATTTTGATTTGAAAAAGTGTTTAAAAACAAATCTTTTATCTAAAATATACTACAAAAAGTAAACAGTTATAATTATGAAAAATTAAAAAATAATAATATCATATCACCATGGCTGTAGTAACGGTAGATGAAATAAAAGAGGTTATATCATCCATAAGCAATGAAACTCAAAACAATATAAATTTTTTAAAAGAAAATGCTTTATATCAATTAAACTTATGTAAAAATATTGATGCAAAAACTCTTGATTCAAAATCAACCAGTTTAGAACATTTTAAGAATCTTAATGATGGTATAACAGCGGATGTCAATAGAATAAAGGAAATTTCAAAGAATAATAAAAGTTATGTTGCAAAGTCACAGACAAATGCAGTAGGTACTTTATTTATCATTTATGAATTATTTGTTATATCTGACAGTTGAGTGATTACCTAGTTTATTTTATATCTGTATAATTATTTAGCGGTACAGCAAACTGATCTTATAATCCTATTATCTGTTTTTTTCTCTTGCTTTACTGTTTGGCAGAATCAAAAAAACTTTTATGTAATTTTCACTGTATTCAATTGTTTTCAGAGTTTTTTGTTCCTTGTTTATGTCTGTTTCCCTTACATATTTTTTCAGCATTAATCTTACTTCCTTATACTTTTGTGTTTGGTTATTTACTGTCACGCTAAGATTATGTGCTCTAATTCTTAGTATTTCTTTTACAGTTTTAAGTATTGTTCATCAAACAATATTATTATTTACCTTTATATACCTCTTTGTATTCTTTAGTGAATATTTTTGTTCTCCGCAAGTGTATATTGGATTGTTTTGCCACAAGTGTTTCCTGGTAATAAACTCTAACACTGTGGAAACAAGCTGCATCTTGTGTTATTGGGGTAGAGTTGCCTTTCTCTAAGAAATGCATGCTAAGGCAAAAAAATGTAACATTTCAATGGACTATATATTCATATTTAAGTAATATTGTTACTTTGTATGCAACTGATAGATTGTTTATGTGTAATTTAGATCATTTTTTATATTTTTTAAAGAATATTTTATAATACTTATTAATTTCATTTTTAGGATGATCTAAACACAAAAAATAATGAATTGCAGATGAAGTGCACAGATATCCAAAAAGAAATAAATGCACTTGAACATAAAATATCTCATGTGAAAGCAAAAGAAAAGCATTTCCAGAAGAGAAGGTTAGCTTGTGAAGAATGTTTATAAAGTTTTTTATATTTAATTAATCTATTTTTAGGGACAAGATCTTGGTATTTAAACTTCTTACCAATACACATTTTTGTTATGATACGAAAAATATTAGGGGCTGTATCCTTTTTTTATACTCATGAAAAATAAATTAGATATTTAATTATATAAATATACAGAGTGTGTCAGATAAACATCCAATTAGAAATATTTCCAGAACTAAAGGTAACAGAATGCAAAACTCATATGACTCTAAAATACATATGGCAGGTATAATATAGTTTTACTTCAAAATACAAGTGATTCAGGATCGTATCTTAAATATCTAGCAATTATGCATTTAAAAAACAACTCAATTTATTAAATTATAATACATATTGGATATATCTTTAATGTCATTCTTATTATTGACAGAATTTTGATTTTTTTTATGTGAATCATCTCCAATATGCATCTTTTGTTGTAGTTTTGAATAAAAATGTACAGATTTTAGATTTTATCCCATAGTAAATTCAAAAGAGAACAACCTAAAGGGTATTTGAAGCAAAAAGAATAAAAATATGAATTAGGCAACAAGAGAGAAAAACCATGAAAGAATTGATCAGGGACCGAAACTATTAGATAAATGATTACAGAGTTGATAAAACCCAACACTGACATCTAGAGATTATAAGGTGTCACTATAAAGCTGAATAAAGGAGAATTATCAGTTTCTAAAATAATTAAAATATTTATAAAGTACATTCCTAGGCATTATTGAACTGTTTATTGTCTTAATGTATGTTTGGTACTTATTTGTTTATTGTATGTTAAATATGTGTTAACAATCAGGTTTTAGATCACATCGAAGTACAGCAAACAATCTAGCAGTCCTCCAAACATCAATCATTAAAGCCTTTCAGTGCAAACAAGACCTAATAGTTGTTTTGTTTGATATGAAAAAGCATTCGATACCCTGTATAGGCCTCTTATGATAGATAAACTCGAGGAGTACAGTATATCTGGAAATATATCTTCATTTATTAATCAATTTCTAACAAATAGAACCTTTCACTTAAGATAAAATGGCAAAATATCTAGGACTTTCAAACTTATGGCTTTCCCCAAGGGTTGGTATTGAGTCCTACACCCTTTATTCTTGTTTTAAACGATATATGTAAAAAGCTTCCTGTCAAGTTTGCACTGTACGCAGATGATTTAATAATTTTCTGCTGAGACAAAGACACTGTTGACACTTGCAAACTACTTCAGAATGCTACTGACCAATTGCTTGAATGGACTTCAGTAAGCGGATTTAATTTTTCTGTTGAAAAGACAAAAATCATTAAGCTTTCTCGCAGGACAGCCAGTACTATAAATCCTAAAATTACCATAAATGGTACTTGTCTATCTGCAGTAAAGAGTATGCGGATTTTAGGACTCACATTCGACAGTAAACTTACTTGGAAATACCATTTAAAAGCTCTCAAAACTAAGTGCATGACAAATCTTAACTTATTAAAAACTCTGTTTAATCATCATTGGCATGCAGACGAAGACTCCTTGCTTCAGATTTATAGATGTCTTATTCGTTCTAAAATAGACTACTGCAGTTTCATTTATATGTTAGCTAGCCCATCAGATTTAAAACTTCTTAATTCTGTACACAACACTACACTCCGAATATGTCTTGGAGTCTTCAGATCGAGCCCTGCAGAGAGTTTATCTCTCGTTAAGTAATTATGATAAGCACCAGACAAATCCACAATTTCTAAGGCAAACCTTTAAAGAATTAATTGCTAACAACAGATTTGACCAAATTTTATACACAGATGCTTCTAAGATTCCTATAGCTTTTGGATGTGCTGTAACTTCAAACACATATTTAATCATATCTTGTAATCTCCCGCTCTTCTGCTGCATACATACTGCTGAATTATTCTCTATTTTCCAAGCTACAAACTTACTATCTCCAGAATATTAAAAAGTAGCAATATATACAGACTCTTTAGCGTCTATCTATTCTCTCAAAAGTATGTACATCCTTTGATTCAAGCTATTCAAAACTCTTTCGATAGTTTAATCTCAATGGAGAATCCATAACCATGATCTGGATTCCGTCTCATGTAGGAATTTCTGGTAACGAACTAGCCGACCTCTCTGCAAAACTAGCCTCGTCTTCTAATATGGAGAATGAAAACATACAACTATATACAGATTTACAGTCGTATTTTAAAATATCATCCAAATGTCTTGGCAAGATCTCTGGAATAAAATCCCTTCCAAGCTTCGTGACATCCATCCCAGCTTTAAAAAGCTTGAGTTTCCTTCCATGACACGAAAAAACAAAATCTTAATTCGCCAACTTAGAATCGGCCATACAAGACTAACTCATAAATATTTAATGACTTCCCAAGATCCACCTACATGTACACACTGTGGTAATATTCTATCTGTTAAACATATTCTCGTAGACTGTTCTTACTTTAACAACGAAAGAAAAAAGAATCTTTTGAGTCGAAACCCACAAAACAGTTCGCCAGATCAATTCCAAAACCTTACTAATTTCCTCTATGAAACCAAGCTTTACCAGGAAATTTAGAAGAAGAAACGTAGTTTAGAATTTGACAATTAATAATTGCACCAATATTTAATGTATTTCTTTATTGATTGTAATGTTACTGTATATTCTTGTAATGTAATGTAATAAAATTGTACCTGTGTCAGTGACCTACGCTGTCGAGACACGTAAAGCTAAATAAAAAAAATGTGTTAATATCAATTTACTTTTTGCAAGAATCGTTGGTGTGATAAATATTTTCCTTAATAAACTAATAGATGTTACTGGAAAGTCACCTGATGCTTTCAAAACTTTTGATTTTAATCCCCAAAAAATGGACAACAAAAAAATTATAGATAACTTATACAACAACCTCAAAGTTTGCTGTAACACTCGGAGTCCCGGAGACAGAGAAGACAAAGAGAACGAAGAACAATAATGGTACTTACATTTTGAATAATATATTTACAATACTACATGTAATTATTGATAATTGTCAAACACTAATAATATGTTAAAGAGATCTTTATTTGATTTATTTTTTGTAAGTGAATAATATATCTTGAAAATAAATTATAAATTTGTGTTTTTTTTAAGTTTTATTATTATTATACTTGGTATTCGAATAAATCCATTGGAACATGTATAACTGTGTAACTATAAAATGTTACAACTTTGTCAACAGTGCTTAGTGTTTTATGCGATTAAGACTCTTATTCCAAAAAAGACTCCCCTAAAAATTAGGTACCGTGCCTACAACCCAGAGCGAATTTAGACGGGTACGAAGCAACATCTCTGTTTTGCAGAAGCCCTCAAAAATCCGTCAAGGATTTACTCCACATAAATTTATACAGTGCTTCCGAGTCTGTCAAAGATTTGTCTCGCTCTTGGTGTAAGAGCAATCATTCATACGTTAGCGTTGCCTTTTTGTGTAAACCAGAAGTGTTGGAAGGTTTTCGCATAGTTTTCTTGGTAGCCTTTGACAAATGGTTGCCACATATCTAAATTCAGGATCTTCGTCATAGTGACTCGAATGGACTATGGAATAAAACAAATTTGTTTAATTTATTAATGTTTGTATTTTGAGAACGATTTCTGAGGTGGAAATTAAAACGTCAATAAACCTACTTTAACCTTTAATTGTAGCTTATTCCCATTGAAATAGTTATTGCTTTAAAATGCCACAAGAAAATAGCTTCAGAACAATAATAAAATTACTTTATTTAATTTTAAAAATACAGAAAACTGAATAAAGCTTGGCGCTAGTCTACTGTACTGCCTACTGTACCATCTTTTTTTGTTTATTAATATCGTCTTTGAAGTCTTGTTCTACATAAGTTTTTATAGAAAATATCTTTCTTAAGACTATTATTGATAAAATTATCTGTTGATAGTTAAAAAATAATAAATATAGACATAAATATAAACATAACTTTTATTTACTTCAGGTACAGTTTATAGTAAATCAAATAAAAAATATCACAGAAATTATAACTAAATCTATTTACTTAGAAATAATATTATATTTATGAAATATTGTAGCAAATGTTGCTATTGTAAAAGCAAAAACAAAGAGTATAACTATCACCAACATCAAAATTGACACTTGGAAGAATAGTGAGTACATGACATAAAACACCCCTGCAACAAAAAAAAAACAAAATATAAATACGTTTGTATATAGTGTGAAAACCATTGATGGAATAAAATTGTGCCATACTTTAGAAACTTAAAAAAAAAGCACTATACCTTATTTCATTAAGCGATGCAGGGCATATAAACAACAATAAATTTAACAGATAATTGTTAAAGATGTTCCAAATGAGTCTACTCGTTCCGATAAGTAACAGTATAATTATGACACTTTATTATTTTTTTTCTTTTCTCAAATATTCGTGTTTATTTTATGTATATAAATTATTTTATGAAAAATGGAAAAAGGTTCAAACAGTACACCTAATATGACATTAATATAGTGAGAAGATCAGAAAGCCTAATTCTGCAAAATTAAAGCATGATATATTTGGCTCAAGTTACTTATGTCAGTAAGTAACTTGAGAAATATTACTTATTGAGAAATATTCTAATAGAGAATTCATATCCTTCCTCTATCATTAATAAATACCTTTATTCACATAGCTATGGATCCTCAATTTATGACATACCCGATGGTGACCAACTTAGAAACATCTCAAATAATTCAATAAATAGCATTGTTCTGCATAATACTGTTCTTGAGAATACTACCACACATTATTCTTCTTTACCTTATTTCCCTCAAGTTACTGAGAAGCTTATTAAATTGTATAAACAAAATAATATACCTGTTAAAATTGCTGTTAAGAATGCTAAAACTGTTAGAAATTTGTTCTCTAAAACTAAAACACCCTTGTCCACTTTGGAACAAGTTAACACAATTTATAAAATCCCATGCGCTAATTGCGATTTATGTTACATTGGTCAAACTGGTAGATCATTAAAAGGTCGTCTCACTTCACATCGTAGTGACATTAATTTATCAAAACACACTTGTGCCCTGGCACAACACGCGATAAATACCAAACATGAAGTGGATTTCAATGAAGTTAAGATCCTTGCCACTGAACGCAATCTAGCTAAAAGACAGTTTTTGGAAATGTGTTCAATACTAAAACACCCTAATGCTTTGAATAAGAGAACTGACATCATAAGTAACTTGAGCCAAATATATCATGCTTTAATTTTGCAGAATTAGGCTTTCTGATCTTCTCACTATATTAATGTCATATTAGGTGTACTGTTTGAACCTTTTTCCATTTTTCATAAAATAATTTATATACATAAAATAGAAATAAAATACATAAAATATCTAAATAAAATAATTTAATATTCTTTACTTAATTTACTATTACATATGCAACTTACATTGCATCTTCATACACTGATTACTTTGATTAGTGTGAACAATTCGTGTTTATTGCATACTAAATAAATTAATGTTATCACTGAATACATAGTAAGTGAAAAAATAATCCGATTTATAAAATTAATGAATATTTTATGCATAAATGCAAGTAACAGTTCTTCAAAAATATTTAAAAACTAACCGAAATGTCCATCTTTATTTCGTCACGTTCGGACACGACTATGTATTAATGTTTACATCTTCCTGCATCGCTTAATGCATTTTACTATAGGACCCGTCAACTCTTAAATTCAAATATGCGCTTTTTATATTTTAATGAACGCTTTTGAGAGCGATACACGCAAGTCGAGCATAGTCCATATTCTTTATTTTTAATGATGAAACACCCTGTAGATTTTTGTTTTTAAAGGCTTATTAACAACTTGATGTATGTAGGGCATATTATGAATAATACAAGGCGAGATTTTTTAACTTACTAAATACAGACATCAAATTTATAAAATAAGTAATGTATTGGGTTTTGTTAACATTTTTGTAAACAGTAAATAATGTAGATTTTTATCTATCAGTTGTTGATATGTTGATAATTGTTTCTATCTCACACGGTCATCCATGATACTGGGTCGGTGATACTGATATGAGATACTATTGAAATAAGCTAAACAAGATGTCTTTATAATTTCCGCATAATTTGACTTATCGTAAAATATTTATATCCTAAAATGTTTTGCCAAATGTTTAGGTAATACCGTGCTACAACAAATTGCAACGCAACTAAAATGCAACTGCAACCACCGGAGGACACTCGAACAAAATTTGGTTTAGAATGATTGGAAATCAATTTCAGACTGTAGTTTTAAAACAATTGCTCTGTGGGCGATGGCATTTGCCATTTAAAACAATTGCACCGTGGGCGATGGCAAGATTTCTATAGAACTTCTGTACAAAGCACGTGACCTTGCAAAAGATTGGATGAGTCAGTACGGTCTGAAACTTTCTGAGGAGAAGACCAAGACCGTGATCCACAAGGGACCAATGGAAACGCGAGAATGTTATATTAGAGTGCGGTGGTGCGGAGATCACTCCAAAAAAGTGAGTTAAGTAGTTGGGAGTAACTCTTCACACCAATGGGAGTTTACGCGGCCCCAGTCTGGAGAGGTAGATATATCATCCTACCGGAGATATTTGACACGAACAGACAGAAAAAGCCTGTTACGCGTAGCAAGCGTCTACAGGACTGTTTTTGCGGCAGCGTTGTAGGTCATCACCGGTTGCATGCCCTCTCACATCTTGGCATGCGAGAGGACCCGTTTATTTCATCGTGCTCGTAATATTGGTGTGATTGAGAGTGTAACACGTGAAGACAGAGAGCTACATTTATACCAATGTCCACTTGTCTATAAGTGACCAACATTCACTTATAGACAAGTCACTTGTAGACAACGGCGTTTAGATTATTTCCTGTCGCAGGTTCTCACGGGCCACGAATGTTTCTGCTTATACCTCTTCAGGTTCAAGAAAGCGGCTAGAAACACATGCCCTTACTGCGGTTTCGTCAATACTGTGTCACATACACTGTTGGAATATACAAGATGGAGTATTGATAGATTAGAATTGGAGAGAAAGAATGGTGTTCGTTGATTCGTGGTATGATGCGAGGGTGTGTGAGGATGAAGACACTTGGGAAAGAACCCATGCTTTCGTTAGACAGACGCTCCAGTCCAAGGAGACTGAAGAAAAACTGTTGTAGTCACAAAAAGAAGTTTGTGGCGTTGAAGTCAAGCCGTGAAGCGATATTTAACGGGACGTGAGACGGATGTAGTACCGAAGATATGCCGCCACAAGAGCGAATCTCGGACTGCACTTGCGGATCACAAGCGCGGTTGAGTGGACGAAGGGTTTTAGTGGGTAGGTTCTCACCCCGACGAGATTGCGGTTTAGCGTCACATGTGGTGGGCTCGACAGCCATCTCAGCGGCAATGAGGGAATCCCACATACCAGACATAAGTCTTGGTATCTTACGAAGATTTCCCACCCACTTCATAAAGTATAAAAAAAAGGTTTCTATAAACGAATAGATCTATAAAAAATGTGTGGACTGTGGAATTAATGATACAGCCGAGATACTCGTATTTGTATTTGAATGTAATAGATATAATGAAGATAGAGCCGAAATTTATGCAAAAGTAGGCGTATATAGAGCGTTAGACATCATGACGGTTATGCGAAGAGGAAAATTCTAGAACGAGAAAGACAACAAGGGCAAATATAAATCAAATACAAAATATACACATGCAGATAAATAAAAAGGGAAAATAGATCCCTTTCCCCCCTAAATGCGTGATAAAGGCACAACTATCAGCCAAATGTTCTTCATGTAGGAGTCCTGGGTAATAGAACTCCAACATGGTACCCCAACCGATTCAAATTCAGGCTAGCGTTAAGCGCTTTATTCCTGTTATCCTCTTGTAACTTATCCGCGAAACTGAAATTGCTTGCTTGAGCCTAAAGCTTCCGCTCTGGGCAGCGCCCACTTCGTAGACTTGGTGCTTAAGGATTTGGGCCCTACGTGCCCGGTTGTTTTGTAGTTTTTAGTTTTTCTTGTTGGCTAGCGCCGGTTTTTGTTTTTTGATTATTTTTTTGTTGGCTCAGGCCGTTTTTCATGTTTTTTATAAATTTT